TAACTACTACTCAGAGGTCGAGGAAAGGGGGTGCTTGCCAGGATACGGTGAGACCTGCTGCTTTCAGGAAGTGTTGCTCCACTGTAGCTGAGTCCCTCCTACAGAAAGGCAGCTAACGCCAGCCTGTGCCAGGGCAAGAAAGGAACAAACATCTCAACTTTTCTATTTCCCCATCCTCCAATCTCCTGCTTGTGCCTCTCATTGACTAAACTCAATGACAAATCAAAGGACAAGGATGTCAGCCCCTAAGCTGTGTCCCGGTGGTACTGTCAGCCGCTCAGACGTACATGCGTGACTGTATTGGTTTCATCTCTTGTCTCATATTCAAGCCTTCAATCAAATAACTCCAAATTACCCTACATCTCTGGGGTGGATGATGTGAATTGGCTCACGCATCCTCCACTCCGTCTGCCCTTCAGGATGCTTTCCTCTACTGCAGAGGCTGAGGGGCTATAAACCAAATTTCCTAGACCCCTTGCAACTACTGCCCTGGATATGAAAGCAGGTTGTGCTGATAGGATGCTTACGTGTGCAGTTCAGAACGCAGACACAATGCAACGGTTATCCTGCTGCTGCTGGTTGTGCAGGCCGTCAGGGGGACGGGAGCTAATGCTGAGAGGGGACTGCAGAGCACACGCTCCACCATGCGATGTCTATTCACCAACTCTGGGGGGGGAAAGGCAGTTGTGGGGCGGTGGAAGCAGTGCTAGCAGCATTTTCACATCACAGCTCTCCTACGTGGTGTGCTCTGGAACCGTATCCCGGTCAAGATTCCTGCTAGTTCTCAGTGCTGGCACTAACTTTGTAAGCACGTATTTATCGACATTAAATCCTTTCCTACTTGAAGGAGCCGGAGCGTGCTTTGTTTCCTGCACTGAACTGTGCCTAATACAAACCCCACTGTTCCTACTCTTCAGCACACACCATGCCCTTCAGTGTTGTGGGTCACTGTGGGGCAGCAAATAGAACTCGGGATTCCCTGATCCTAAGGTCTTTGCTTGAACTAACTTTCCTTCCTGAAAATTTCACATTTATGTAATGCACTCTGGCTAATTATTCTGCTCCAGGTTCAGTGCCAACGAAAATTCCCTCGTGGGACCCTGTTCCTCCCCTCCCCCTCCCTCTCCTCCAAGGCCTTCTCTTTCCCCTATTGTTCTCTTTATCTTTTCCTCTTGTCTTTCTCTTGCTCTCTCTCTCCCTCTTTTACTCTCTCTGTACGTGGCTCATTACATACCTCTATATGTCTATAATAATAAACTCTTCTTCCTTATTAATCAGAAAATATTTAGGAAATATCAGAAAGGGAGACAGAACATAAAGACTCCTAACTCTGGGAAATGAACTAGGGGTGGTGGAAGGGGAGGAGGGCGGGGGGTGGGGGTGACTGGGTAACGGGCACTGAGGGGGGCACTTGATGGGATGAGCACTGGGTGTTATTCTGTATGTTGGCAAATTGAACACCAATAAAAAATAAATTTATTATTAAAAAAAGAAAATATTTACCTCCATTTCATATATTTATGTCCACTTCCACTAAATGTATATGGGTATACCCCATTGCTTCTTTGCTTGCTTGTGCAAAAAATTCACCAGGGCCTATGCCAATGCCTTTGGAATAGCTATAGGGTTGATGGATATTTTCAGGTTGATGATGGGTGAAAGAAATTTTGTATTCTACATGCAAACATCGGCTTCATAGACTCACAAACAGAAGCCTATGACTTGCAAAGCTGATACCCTAAAATTGTGATCTGTCATTGATATTCTTTAACATTCAAGCCAAACCAGAATGTTGCAGAAATTGTCAATGGCTTCTAGTTGAAGATGAATGTGTGTTTTTTAATCATGAGAAAAAAAAAACACTAAGATAATTCAATCAACGTGTGCATTGTTTTAAATCTGGCTCCAAAACTAGAAACTCACATCTGCCATTACTGAATTCCCAGAGAAGCATTTGTTGACTCCTAGAAAAAGTTGTTCTTTTTATGCTTCTATGTCATCTAAATATACACACAAACATCTATTCCCCTCTCTGTTCAAATGCATATATTCAAACAAAAAAAGTTTTGGGCTTTTCAAAAGCAGACTACAGACGTGAATGAATATTGACACACATGACTACAGAGGAGCACGATCTATGCCGAGAAACGGGAGTGGGTGAGGAAATGCATTGCAAATTTAAAATCCACGTATAAATACAAAATCCTTTAAGTGAAGATGCCTTTCTTAGCAAGGACATTGTGGGCTTGAGACCAAGCCTCGGCACCATGCTTAACTATGTAAACTTGGACAGATTGCCTCCTGTCATTGCGTTTCATTGTGGTTGCACATCAAATGGGAAAACTGGGTTGTTATCTCCTTTGTTCTCTTGAATTAAAGCACAAAACAACCCCCAGAGGATGCTCCTGAGTACAGACTAGATTTAGAGCAGATGTTCATCACATCTTGAGAGCACTCACGCCACAGTGAGGAACACGGCGTGACAGCCAAGGAGGTTACTTTGGGCTCCTATCAATCATCTCGTGGGTCTGTGGCGAAATTAAAAGGCTAAAAGGTGGCTGCAGAGCAGTGCTTCTAGGGGACGCCAGTTCCTGCCCTAAGATGCCAAAACAGCGCGTGCTCAGGAGGCATCAGTTCCCCGATCACACAGATGCTTGGCCCACAACAGCCCGGGATCCAGATGTTCAACCACAGTAGAACAATCCAAACGTAGAGGGACCATATAGAAGAGGCTTTGCCACATTGTTTTTCCTACCTTGTGACAGCTTTCATTTTTCTTTCTCTTTTATAATTCTCAGGACTGAATGTCTTCATGTTTTCATTCTGCAATGGATCATTTTAGGCTCATATTTTCTACCGAACCATGAATAATATTACAATAGAGGTTTGTAATTATAGTACTCGTTCTAAGGGAAGTCATAGTTTGAGGGGGAGAAACAAAGTTTGAATGTTTTTGGCTTTAAAAAATGATTTTCAGTAACAATTTTAATATAGCATTTTGAAAGAAATTAAATTTGAATAAAGTTGAAGTCAATAGTATTTACCTGTGAGAACAGAGATTATCTATGAATTGATTAATCATGTAACCTGGTTACACGGCTTAGCCCAGAATTCACTAGGTACTATTCCAAAAGTGCTTTGAGGCCAGTCCCCACTAGGTACCAAATTGCAGAAGCTCATCCTAGTGAATACATTCCCTAAAACTGCTGCTTCATTACCATTTCCTGTTCACACTGATGATTTTCATCCGGTACTAAGAACATCGCAATTTTTTGGTTATCAAATCTTAAGCTACTGATGTATCTCGGGAAAGATGCATACATTATGTACAAATGATCACCTCTTCAACATCATACTCCCCTCCCTGATTTCTCTTCTGCCTTTCTTTTTTTTCTTTTTCTTTTTCTTTTCTTTTCTTTTTTTTTTTTGGTGGAAGTTTGAACATGAGGTAATAGCCTGCTGATAAATTAATGGCTGCAGCTGGTTTTGTAGCCCAAATTTTCCAGTGGTGCAAATAGAGTAGAATATAGATCTGTGATAATGTAATTAGAGCTTGCCATTGTAGTATACTGGAAATGTTGAATCGGGACTTAGGAAACCGAGATTACAGTTCTGTTTTATTATTAAAATATATATAAAATAAAGATGCTTAATTTATCTGGTTGAGTTTTAATTTCTTTGTCAATAAGGGGTTGAAAGAGGTGGTCTCTAATGTGCCTTCTGCTAATTAACCCGTCACAAGTCATGTCTGCCCTAGCATAAACAGGAAGTGCCTATATTTGCTTTGTTTACTAATATTTCAAATATACACTTTCCTTTTCACACTCATGATGTATAGTGTTTCCTTCATTAGATCTGAAACCAATGTATGAACTGTTCAAAAGTTTTAAGAGGAGATAACTAATGATAAGCATCCTCAAAACAGTAACTCTCTAAAAATTAATATATAGTCAGAGCACAGAGCCTAACATATTGGAACTCTACAAACGCGGAAAATACAAATCAGCTTAATATCAGCTGTGAATTTAACATTTTAGTTGTACTTCAATGAAGGCTGATAAATATTACTCTATATGAGGCTACTATGCATAAACAATTTTTAAAAAATTAGATGACAAAATATTTTTAAATAATTTATAAAGTACTTTATAAAGAATATATCTGTTTAAGTTTAGAAGAGTTCATTAAACAACTCCAATAAAGCATGTTTTTATTTAAAAAATAAGAACATTTTTTATTTAAAAAATGACTTCATTTTTCATTTGTTAAAGCAGAGGAAAATAGGGGCAAAAAATGTCTACCATAAAGGTAAAGAGACTAGGAAGGAGTCAAATGAGAAAAATCAGTTAACTCTGATATGGCTTTGCATAAGGGAAATTGATGTTTTCAAACACTCAAATATTAATTCACTGAGTTACTGAGTTTTAGAGCATCACTGAATGTCATTGCCCTTTGAAATGTCAATTTACCAATATTCACAGTTCATTAGCTGGATTAATCCTTAACCTTTGGAGACCTTCTCTTTAAAAGGCACAATTCAACAAAGAAAAATTAACGTTCTGGAGAGAGAGCCACCATGAAGCTTCAACTATTACGGACCAAAATACATAAAAACATATGAGATTACACACACACACATACACACGTGCACACACACAATCTCATAAACAAAGTGGACTGTCTGAAAAGATAAATGAAAATATTTATAGAAGTTATCTTTGGATGGGAGATTATGGGTAACTTTCAAAAAGATATTTTAAGACTTTCTAAAATCGTGAATTATTTTTGAAAAATAATTAACTAACATATAATATATGTAGAAGTCATTTGAGTATGTGAACTCTGTTTCTTCAGCAAATGGATCCTACCACTTGGACCAGTAAATATAACTTTGCTTCATATTAGAATCACCCTGGGAGCTTTAAAAAAAAATCCCATTATTCAGGCTGTACTCTATGCCAATAAAATTAGAAGCTCTGAGAATCAGACCTAGACATCAGTGTTTTTATTTGTTTTTTTAACACTTCATGAATCATCCTTGTGCAGGGGGCATGCTAGTCTTCTCTGTATTATTCCAATTTTAGTATATGTGCTGCTGAAGTGTGCACAAGACATCAATATTTTTAATGCAACCCCCCCCAGGTGATTTCATTGTTCAGTGAAATCTGAGAACCAGTGATACAGAACATAGATATATGTTATATATAATAAATTCAAGGACTTTACATTATGGAAAAATGACAAAGATGCAATTGTCCAATAATAAGTGTTCAGTGATGACATTCTTAAACTCCTTCTCTGTCCTTGTCTTGGCAGACTTCTCAACAGCTTGTCCTTCCTTAATTCATGCCCATTTCCACACCAGTTCACAAAGGCTTCTCTTGATTCTGTGAATGCCTGATATTCTTCTTATAAATTCCTTTGTGACATATGATACTCAGTTGTTTGAAGCCTATACCCCTAAATATATGCTTAAAGCATTATTAATGTAGTAAATAATTTGAACTAGGTAAAAAGAGAAAATAAAGCTATATATATGTAAAATTAAGTTGTATATTTTTAAAGAAAAAATTCGGACTAATACCTTATAGTAGGTATAGCAGTGCTTTGTAGACTATACTCCATAATAGCTAGTAAGATATACTAATTATCATGTATATGACAGTATATTTTATGATTTTTTTCTCACAGATGTTCTTACCAATATAATTAGGTAACTACTGTAACTGCATCCATGTCACAAATGAACAAATACTATTTAATCAGATGAAAGGTTTGAAGCCAAGTGGTTTGATTCAGCCTATTGTCTTAACCACAATGCTATGTTTATTAGTGGATTTTGGCTCTTATGATGGTAAAAAGAATGCAAGAGTAAGATAGAAGTAACTTGAAAGTGATTACAAAGTGAAAGAGTCTTGGGCTACACAGGTTTTTGTAAATGTATATTCCCTTGACCTGGTTTTGGTATATTACCTCAATCATGTTGTCTTGTTTAATTGTTAATAAAACACCCTAAGGTTCATTAAGTTGAATCTATTACCCATGACTAGAAGAATAAGGAGAAACATGAACCTCTCTATACGTGGGAAAAGAATATTACTCATTTTTTGCCTGATTAATAGGTTAATCATCCCATCATGCAACCATGGAATGAAATTCATGTCATATGAATGGTGGGATAATATAAATATCTTAAAATTGTGATGTGCTTTGATGCACCTTTGCATCCCTCATGACACCTAAATATTAAAGAATTTATTTCAGTTTTTAAAAAGTTACTGATATTACTAAGTCATTACTAAGTCAAAAACACAAAGTTTTTCTATGTGTTTGTTATCTCAAGATATATTTAATAGAAATCGGCTACATTTGGAAGATGGAGCACAAAACCAAAAGAAGGGATCCTTTCCCTAAAGAATTTTCTCCAAAATGAGGGTCCAAATATTGAAAAAAAAATGATATACTATTATCCTATTTCAGGTAATTATTAAGTGAAATAATAAGTAACACTCATCTTACTTCCATTTTTCAGCCAAGAAATCTATCAAATTTGCATTTCCACTCCTAACCTTTCTGCTAAATCTCAGAATCTTATATCTAACTGCTTAACTGGCATATATATGTGGATGATTAAAGCTAACAACGACAAAAGCAAACTAGTTTCTGAACTTAAACCTGTTCTTCTTTTTTTTTTTTTTTTGAACTTGGCCACAGCAACTTTATTTATTTATTTATTTATTGATATGATCGATTTATTATTTATTTATTTATTTACTTATTTATCTATTTATTTATTTTTTATTGGAGTTCAATTTGTCAACATATAGCATAACACCCAGTGCAACTTTTTTTAAAATAATAAAGTTATTTTTTATTGGTGTTCAATTTGCCAACATACAGAATAACACCCAATGCTCATCCCGTCAAGTGCCCCCCTCAGTGCCCGTCACCCAGTCACCCCCACCCCCTGCCCTCGGCCTCCTCCCCTTCCACCACCCCTAGTTCGTTTCCCAGAGTTAGGAGTCTTCATGTTCTGACTCCCCTTCTGATATTTCCTACCCATTTCTTCTCCCTTCCCTTCTATTCCCTTTCACTATTATTTATATTACCCAAATGAATGAGAAGATATAATGTTTGTCCTTCTCCGATTGACTCATTTCACTCAGCATAATTCCATCCACGTTGAAGCAAATGGTGGGTATTTGTCATTTCTAATGGTTCTATTCATACTTAGTAAATGTCAACTTCATTCTTCTACAGGCACAGCCAAAGTAGCTTGGAATTACTCTTACTTTTTTTTTTCTTTTTTCTTTTTTCTCTTTCTTGTACACCTCAAACCAAAGTCTATCAGCAAAACCTGTCAGTTTAATCTTCCAAATGTATGTAAAATCTGACCCCTTTGGTCACCACCATCCTTGCTACTACCTTGGCATTATATGACACATCCACAGCTTATGTCATACTTAACAGTGAAAGGCTGAAACCTTTTAAGATCAGGAATAAGTCAAGTGTGTCCACAGTCATCACTCCTATTCAACATAGTACTGGAAGTCCTACCTAGACCAATCAGGCAACATAAAGAAATAAAAGGCATCCCAATTAAGAGAAGAAATAAAAGTGTCTGTGTTTCTAGATGACATGATCTTATATATCTATATCTATATCTATATCTATATCTATATCTATATCTAAAAACCCTGTAGGTTCAATCAAAGAACTGTTAAAAGTAATCAACAAATTCAGTAAAGCTGTAGGATATAATATCAACATACAGAAATCGATTGTACCTCCAAACACTAACAATGAAATATCTGAAAAGAAATAGTCTTATTCAGAATAACATCAAAACTATAAAATATTTAGGAATGAACTTAACTAGGGAGGCAAAAGATCTCTACACTAAAAGCTTCAACTCTGATAAGGAAAACTGAAGAAGTTGCAAACAAGTGTAAAGATAGATATTCTTTATTTATGGATCAGAAGAATGGATATTGTTAAAATGTCCATACTACCCAAAGATCCAGTGCAATCTCCATCAAAATTCCAAAAGATTTCAAACTATAACACAAAGCAATAACAATCAAAATAATATGATACTGGCAGAAAACAGACATGTAGAAAAGACCATAATAAAGAGTCCAGAAATAAAGCCCTGCATATCCAGTCACCTAATATTTGGTAAGACAGCCAAGAATACTCAATGCGAAAAGTAAGTCTCTTCAACAAATGCTGGGGAAACTACATAAACACATGTAGAAAAATGAAATCAGGCCTACCTGTTTTACACGATTCACAAAAATTAACCTGAAAATGGATTAAAGATACTACTACATACTTGAAAATTGCTAAGATTTTAAATATTCTTACCATAAAATACAACGGTAATGATATGATCCAATGGAGTTGTTAGATAACAGTACAGGGATAATCATACTGAAGTATGTAAGTGTATCAAATCCAACATAGGACACCTCTGTTGTCTCAGTCTGTGTGTTGATGTCGAAAAGTCTGATGCCAACCTGAACTTCTGTTTTTTTCTCTAAACTTCATTGATATAAAATTGATATATAACATATAACACTAAAGTGTACTGTAACTTTAAGTTATATATATGTTAGAACAAGACAACAGTGGAGCACTATTTTTAAGAAACCCAAAGAAAGACATGATGAGACAACTGTTTTATAAACTCAACCAAATGTCCTTCCATTATTAAGACTACAGCAAAACTGATCTAAACATGCACAAATGTAGGAAACTTATGGGAAAAAATATACTCACAGATCCTTCCTATGTAATCTACTAAAAATGACTTAATTAAATCAGTAGATTTTTAGGAAAATGAGGAAAAATGTTAAGAATGGAATGTATGTATTTGTATAGTAAGACCGAAAACAAAGTGAAGGTGGCTAGGAAGAATGGTATATGAATCTTTCATACTCTGACAAATTAGAAAAAAAAACACCACTAAAAATGGGTGGAGAAGGGAGATAGAAAAGAGAAACTAAAATAAGAATTTGGAATTTTTTATCGGGAAAGGTGAAAGTCTATGATACAATTCAAAACTGACAAACTGAATAGTAGAAACTGAAGTATGATAAAAAGGAACTAAAGGATAGCATAAAACTATTGTTATAAAAGAAAATTAAAAGCCAACAAAAAATAGTAGTGAAACAGATCACACTGACAAAGATACAGGGTCATTGTAACACAATACACAAGTGCATCATAAAGTTATCTGACAAAAATGAAACAGAGCCTCCAAATGACTGCATTATACATATTTTAAAATGAGTTTCCAGTTGGCGCATAAAATAATGCTGAAGCTAAGCCATATATAAGGGTCTAAAGTAAAATAAAATGATTCAAAAAATAAACTAAAATAGATGGGCAAATGCAGACCACATACCTGAAAGCAAAAAAAAAGGCAACTACCTTGATATTTAAGGTACATTTCAAACAAAAAGCAAATTTCAAATTTCAAATCAAACATATACTTTCTAATACTCAATGTATAAAATTATACATAAAAGGATTATGAATATCTATGCACTACATAACAGCAGTTCATACAAGATAAAAGTCATAGAAGAAAAGTTATAGGACATGAAAGGAAAAATAGAAACACACTATCCTAAGGAGACTTTAACAAGTCAGTCAAATGAACAAATAAATACAGCTAAAAGGACATAACAACATCATCAATAAAGGAGGCTCTAAGATGGATATTTATGAAATTGTATATGTTCAGTAAATAGAAAACACATCTGCTTACAAAATGCAGTAACAAAATCTACAAAAATTTAGCATATAATAACAAAGAAAATATTAATAAATTTTATAAAGAAAAAATAATACTAACAAATTGGTCACAATGTAGTAAAACTAAGAAAAATGGGAAAATAAACAGAAATATTTCCATTTGGAAATTAAAATGTAAGTCAAAGTTTCTAAAATTTTCAACAGTAATGTCAATGAAAACAATATATTTTAGAATATACAGCAAATAGCAAAAGAGTACTCAGATGAACTGCAGAACCTTAAATAATTGTTAACAATAAGGATGAGGAAACTAAAATGAATAACATCCAACAAGAACAAAATGAAC